ATAGCCATGTTACTGTGCACAGTGGCTCAATTCTTCACCAATTTCTCCAGTACAATGAGAGAAATTAAGTACCTGTTTTCACTTCAGATGTATAACACATAATATAAATAAATATATATATATAAATGCAAAAGGGTGTAAAAAGTATCACAACATATATAAAGATTAAATATAAAATTTAACTTCTTCACAAAATCTTTGTGTTAAATAATACCTAATAGGAATATTCAAAATGCCTGACATTTCATCTGATAAATATATATGAATTTAAATATATAATTTATTTAAATATGTAAATTTAACATGTACAGATATATTTTCCTACTAAACAGTGTATGGAGATTCAAGATGGCCCTATAGAGAGGTTGAGTGCTCGTGTCTTCCATCAAAAGAACCTGAAGCTGTAAGGGTGAGTGCCTCAAGGAGAAGCACCTGATCAGTAAGAGAGCAGAAGAAGCACAGTGCCACACTGACAACAGACATCGCAACAACAGAGAGAGAACAAAGAGGAACAAAACCAACTTCACGCGTCTGAGCCCCAGCCTCAATGGCTGAGGAGTTTCTTGCTGTAAAGGAAAGGGTGAACGGGGGAGTGTGGGCAGAGCCCAAGTGCACAAACCTTTCACCTTGTATCCCCAGGAAGGAATACAAAAAACCACAGCCCTCCCTGGAAAGCTCAAGGCTCCCTGACTTTAGAGCTGTGATTTGCATAGTTCTGTCTCCTCCCACTTAGACCCAGGACTATGGCAAGAAGGTACTGTCTTGAGAGCAGGAGTTATTGTTGCAATTTATGCCATGCTAGTGGATGGGAATCCCGTATATATTCCTCCCAGGAGTCCTGAAGACATTTTTGCATTCTAGTAAGGCAGACTGAATCCCATGGCACAGAATGGATCCAAAAGGAGAATGGCAAGCCCAGATTGCTAGCTTACATAGCATTCTAATAGCTGACAGAGAGAGTCAGGCTTCTGAAACAGGCAGCCCCTATAGTTCTGAAAATAAGGATTTCATATTAATGCGGGTATTCATATAATATTAGTTTATAATAATTATGTCCCATTGGAATTGGGATTATCCTCTTCATTATCTGCTCTGCAATCATTTGAAAAGTTGCAGATTGCTGACTTGTCCAGTCTGCCCCATGAGGCTCAGACCTTGCAGGAGACTCAAATGGTATGATACAGTATGTGTTTTTGCTCTGGACAATGTGCCCAACTGGGCATGTGAAGTCTGTGTGCACTATGCATTCACTCTGAGCAGTGAGGCAGCAGCTTCACTGTGGCGCAGTGAAAGACAGAAAGACCAAGTCCACCACTGGGCTCTAACGCTGCCCCTCCCTCCACTGCCATCTTGTGTATCAGTCCAGACAGACAGTGGCCACAGCTGCTTGGCACCACCCAGCATACACCGCAGCAGCCTTGATGTAAACCTTCTGTACTCCACCTAGCCCAGCAACAACTTGCTCCCTGGGGCTCACAGGTCTGATCTCTGTGCTTTGCATGATACAATGATGTGGCTTGCTGGGATCTCTGATCCAGGATTTCTGTGCTCTTCTCAGCACTGGTGTGCAGCTGCAGGGCTCTCGGCTCCAGCTGTCTATGGCAGCATGGATGCTGTTGCTCACTTGTTACTCAGGACTGAGGTAGCCGCATCAATACAGCCTAGCAGTACCTGAGGAGTGATCCATGACAGCTCGTTCTGTTCTAGAGAAAAATTCACTCTTACAGATGTAGTCACCTTCACACAGCATCTGTGGGGCCCACCTTCCCCACCTAGCACTAGTAACTCTTGACACGCTGAGCCTGGCAGTGGCTCAATCTGGAGATTCACTCAGCTCCTGGATCAAGCATTGATCTTTTGATTTCAGTGCCTGACTTGAATACTGGTTGTGAATCTGTGTGTTAGCCACACACACAGTGTCAGTAAGGCCTATTCCCAGTACCTGAGAAGCTCATCATACCAGTTCCTCCAGTAGCACATGGTGGGAAATCTGCATAGCAGAAACCTCAGTGACTGCACCAAGCACAGGAACAGTTCAAATTGCTGTGATAGCTAAACTACCATCAACTACAGAAAACAAAGTTCGAAGGAGAGTGTACAAACTCTAGGAATAACATGACTAAAGCATGAGCCTCATATCTCTGCCCCACCACACCCAGCTGGTACTGTGAACAGAGGTAGCCACTGCTAATGCCTGGCATTCAACCCATCACACTCTTGATTTTCTGGGAGACCCCAGGGTATTGGACTAGTACATGTCTAAAAGTAGAAACTGCTGCATTCTGGTCTCACTGAGAACAGGAGAGAAAAGCGACTGTGTATTTCATTCTGCATCAGGAGGTTCCAGACACTAGAAACACAGTAGGGGGATCTCCTCTTTCCTTCCTTTAGGCTGTAGGGGATGAGGATGCTGTTGTTCCAGTGTTGTGCCCAAACCTCCTCAGATTAGGGAGTCCAGAGCACAGCAGGGGCTCGGCGAGGCAGATAGCAGCTGAGGACTGACTGTGTTTCCTATGTCTCTTGGCTACCTAATTCACTGAATGGAATAAACCCCCGAGTTGATCTCATGTGGTCGTTGACTACTAGGAGGTCAGGAGTTGGGGTGGCAACAGAGCACTGGGTTTTATGTAAGAAATTGAAGCCCAGGACACTTACATCCTAGAAAAACAAAATATTCAGCTTCATTGATTAGAAATCACTAACTAGCCTCTAATGAGTGACTTTTGCTATAATGGATAGAATATGTTCTTTGTATTTCTTCCAAAATCACGCTATAGAAATTTGTCCTTGTACCTCACTGGTAATCTGGCCGTGTGGGGGTCGTTAGTGGCTGTCTGCTCAGACTGCCTTCAATCGTCTCATGTGCGTGCAGTTATCTTCTAACATGAGAGGCAGTGTCTGAATAAGAAATGATTTGCTATTCTGAAATGGATGCTCGAATGACTTAAAAGAAGATTTAGAAGATGATTAGATTTTGCACATGACAGGCTGGCCAATGACACAGAGGGGCTGTGGTGATCACAGGGCCCTGAGTGTTCTTAGGACAAACATTTAAGCATCTTGCCATGGCCGCCTAAGTCCACAGGTCTCTGGGCTTTGTTCCTTGATCTCACTTCCTCATCACTCCTCTCTCCTTACCTTGTGCATTAGTGCTGTCTTCAGTCCAAATATCTTCTTTTTCCTCAAACGATTTCTCCATGCTCTAACTATTGATGTGCTGCTCTCACTGGGATCCCACTCCTCTTGCTCCTCTGTGGTTCTATCCACTGCACCAGCCACAACTTGCCTTTTCTGTAAGCCTCATCTCAGATATGACCCTACTCTTTATGAAACTGTGTCTGACCACAGATCCAGGAGAGCTTTCCTGATCAGGCGCATTAGCTTCCACAATTAGCTCATTCTCTAGTGTGAGGCTGTGGGTTACACTGTGTCCCCAAAAGGTGTATGTTCACTCCCTAACACACTTACCTGTTAGCGTGTCCATCTCCATCTCCAGTGTCTTTGGAGATATAATCAAGTTAGGATGAGGTAATACAGGGTTAAGGATGTCCCTAATCTTTGTTATTAAAACTTTTTCAATTAAACTTTTTTTATTATTTTGCATAATACATTTTGGTAGGTATTGAGATTTCCCCCTTTCCCTATCCTTTCTTCTTTTCCAATTCCCCCAGCCACCATTGCCACCCAAATCATTACAGCAGTATAGTCCTTCAGCTTCACAAGTTCAACATTCTGCTATTTCAGTCCCTAATCTGTGATAACTAACACAAAGTGTACAAAAATGGAATCTGCAGTTACATGAGCTGTTTTAGAATTTGATTGTTATATACAGCCTTTGTTTCCACTCTTGAGGAACAGTAGGTCCTTTTTATGTTCTTTCTTATTATTTCTTCATTGCCTCGTATTGATATCATTTCCTAATGGAGTGTGAAATTGCAAAGTGAACTGAAATTTTGCTATTGTAAAAACCAGAAAAAAAATTAGGGAAAGTAGAGGTCAGGTAGGGAACACAGGGAGGCAAAAGGGATGAGTGGGAAGTATTACTAAACTCCTAAATCTGTATTGTCATATGTGTAAAATTTGTCCATGCTATAATCTTTTCACGTTTTTTTCTAAATGCTGTCAGTCATGCTGTGGTGGCATAGGGAATCTGCCCTAGGACTGGTACATTATTTTGCCTCCTATGTGAAAAATGTCAATAACCCTTTTATCCTCAGAAGACTCTTGGTGTTTAAATTTTTGCTTAAACAAAACCATATCCTCTGAAGATGGAACCAATTAGAGTGACATCTCGATAAACCAAGGCAGGTTCCTGACACCAGACACCAGGAGCAGACCCGGAAGGATCCTTCCCTGCAGCTACAGAGAGAATACGGTCCTGCTCATGCTTCACCTTTGTGCTTACAGCCTAAAGAACTGTGTGGCAATGAATTCCTACTGCCTTTAGCCACAACATCACGGTAATTTGTGTGACAGCACCAGGGACAGTATACACACGATTGGTTATGCATAATTTTAGTTATAATTGCCTATGCTAGTGTTGTTACCCCATGAGAGCAAAACTGAATTTGTCTTACTCACCATTCTTTAGGATCCTGTAATACTCAATGTTCCATATTATACATAAATGCACTGATTGACTAAATGAGCAAGAACGAGATCAATTATCTGAACAGAAATGGCTCTTGAAATATAGTTATTATATACTGTGTGTTGGGGGTAGCAAAGCACAAAAGGAAAAGTATTTTTGCATAACTTACAGTATCAGATACAGTTCTCTAGTTATGTTATTTTAACAGGATATATGGCAGCTACTATACAAAGTAATCGTTCACTTCTCCACTGAAAATTTTTGCCAATCAGACTACTGGCAATATGGTCCCTCCTTTGTTTATTTTATAAATAAAATAAATGCCCTAGGGCAGCACAGAAATCAGTGTAGCTTCTCCCTATTCTGCCACCTTGGGTCCCCAGAAATCATAATTTAGACTCTAAGTAACTTTTGTTTTTCCTTTATATAAGTTCAAAGATATGTTTCTGGAAAAACTAAATTTGCTCGGTGGCTTTTTAATTAAATCAGCACATACATACTTAGAAAATCTTATATGCCTTATTTAAAATACTACATTATTTCTGGTGGTTAGAACTGGTCTTGTCTATGCTTGGCATCTAGGCCTTCGAAATTTAATAGAAAATCTTCTTGTCTTCTTCTATGCATTTCTCATCTACAGGCGGCTTCCTCTGGCTGCCAGGCTGCAGGAACTTCTTCACAGTGGGAAGGCTGCTGACTCTGGTCTTGAGGGCCTGCAAGGCACAGATCATAGCTTCAGGGAGGAGCAAAGAGCACCCACCCCTTCACTAGCACAACCCAGGAGCACTGGGCCCCTCTTACTCAAAACTAGCCCAGTCGCCTCCATCAGCACCAACCTGGAGGCTGGGCAGCAGACACCAGTGAGCATGCAAATGGAGAGCTGGTGATTACAGCACGGGAGCATTCCCCAAAGACATTGCTAGGACTTTCTGGAGTGCTAATCTCTCTTCCAACTATGCATCAACCTAGACTATTTGTTCTTTTCAACATAAGGGGTTTTCAAAGTGTTCATGAAATACTGAAATTAGACATTTATTTCGTATTTGAAATGAAGGGTGAAGTCAGTTTTTTGCACTATGTGTTTCCTATGAACTTTGTGAAGAACCCTCATTCAAGAAAGACAACATGACTGTCAGCTAGGCAGACCCAGGGGGATCCAAGCCGGAGAACTGAGACATGGGAATATAGAGTGGGAAATGGAGGAAGTGTTCAAGGCTAACCAAGAGGCAGCCACAATCAAGTTCCACACAGAGCCAAAGGCAAGAGCTGAAGGAAGAGGATGGGAACAAAACCATGGGAGAGGGGCTGAGGAGAGGGTTCCTGGGCCCTGTGTCATTCTCCATATGAAAGGCAAAATGTGGGGCTGCCACTGTAGCGAAGTAGACTAAAGCCCTGCTTGTAACTTCAGCATCACATGTCGATTCTGCTTCTACTGCTGCTGCTCCATTTTTTGATCCAGCTGCTTATTCATGGCCTGAGAAAGCAACAGACGATGGTTCAAGTCCTTGGGCCCCTGCTCCCACATGGGAGAGCTGGAAGACGCTTCAGGCTCCTGTCTGGATCAATTTAACTCTGGCTTTTGCAGCCATTTGGAGAGTGAATCAGCAAATGTAAGACATTTCTCTGCCTCTTCTCTCTGTAACTCTGCTTTTCAAGTAAAATAAAGTAGATCTTTAAACAAAAAGGCAGAATATTCTTCATGGGATGGAATCCACAGTGATTTTCTTAGCAAAATGACTTGCCTCAAAATCTGTGCTTACAAGCTCATTTTGGAGACCTGGGGTGGTAGTAGTGAAGGCTAGAGAGCAAGTGAGAAGGTGGGCACTGAGTCTTCATCAGCGGAAGGGGACAAATGTTAGATAAGAGGCTAGAATTGTGCCATGAAGAGACTGGTCACCTTCAGCTGAGGGAAGCTGCTGAGGATGGTGGGGTCCAGCTCTTCCATGTTGTAGAGCTGCTCAACTAGGAGAATGTCAGCCTTGCTCAGCTTGTTGCCAACCAGGTAGTCTTGTCCGTGGCTCTTCAACACCTGATGATTAGAGGAATGACATCATGGCCACAGGCCCATCAGGCTGGATCCTCCTCCTGCCTGAGTTTCCAGCCTAATCCTGCCAGCTCCGGTGCTTTCTTGGAGGGTGTGGAGATGCACCCCTTTATCCAGGACTCTTGCTCATGAGAAGTGGGCACTGCTCACTCAGCGAAAACCCAGACTTCCTTTCACTCCCATTACATATCCCTATGGCATTCATACCCCTAGCCTCACTTGCACCTCCACCTGTGCAGAAGGCTTACCTCTTGCTGCCCCATGTTCCAGTCTGCCCCACCTCCTCAAGTCTGCAGGCCTGACATTTTACACATGCCCCTGCACTCTGCACTCTCTGCAGCTCCCTGCTGCACAGTGTCTGCCCCTTCACCACAGCTCTTTTGCACTATGATGAGACTTTTTAAAACTTCACAAACATCCTCTTATCATAGTTTATGTCTCTGGGATTGAAATAAACAAGTATGAACTTGAGTTCTTCCTTTATGAAATAATGCCTCTTAAACTGCGGCATATTGCAATCTGCTGCTAAAAAAATGTACAGGTGAACTACGCAGATGAATGAAACTTATATCGATATAATGAATCATACTCTTACGGCAAAAACTGGAGTTGTGACTACATGGTTAAGTCAAATATAACTGTCCGTTTTTCTATCTAGTTGTGGGGTCTATGTATTTATTCATCTTTGTTTTAAACATTTCTGAATACGTTCAATATTTCATAATATAATTTTGATTTATATTTGATGTTGATAAAAATTTGCAAGAAACATTGAATCCATGATGAATAAGATATACACATAGTATCCCCAGCAAGATACAGTATTTTGACAAAGCCCCCTTTGGATTCTATATGCATAAAGATGTATGAAGAGTTATTTGGTATAGAAACAGGGACTAGTGTGTGCTGTACAGTAACCTGCTCTCTTCACTTGTGAACCTGAGGCTCTCTGGATTCATAGTTCACTAATACTGAGCACTGACAACTGGAGAGCTTGTCACTGTGTGAATGTGCCCTATAGCATCAGCACCAGGGGCTACTTGATCCATAAATCTTTTTCCCCTTACAGTTATGTTTTTGGATCATGATATTTATTCAACAGAATTTCAAGTAAGGTGTGACCTCAAAATCTTCTCTGACACTCAAAAAGGAGCTCAATTAATAGAAAGGCATTAATGTATAATAATGACACTTTATTTACTGTCTTATCATACCTTTCCTCAAATATCTGAGAACCTATCTCTAGATTCAGTAGATTATGGTTTCTAACCATCAATTTGTTCATCTCCTCTCCTCCCTCTGCCACTGTCCTTTATTGGATACCCGGCTGCTCTCCAGTCTCCTCGCACGTGTACCAAGATGCTTTTGGATGTTGCTCTAGTATCAAAAGTTGGGTTTCTACACAATCTACTCCAACTTCCAGTGAGATTTAATTATTCCTACAGACTAAGTTCTACAAATGCCTCTGAAATTTAGTTTGAGCCCTTTAGGTTGGGTTTTAGCAACTGAAAAATTTTGAAGAAAGTTAACTAAGTTAAACTAATTCTTCTTCAAATATATTTCACACAGTTCCTTGTGCATCCATGCACTCAATTACCACTCAGAAAAACTCTGTGGCAGAAGGTCAGAGCCCCTGGAAAGCCAGGCCACTGTTTCTCCGTTGTCTGTAGTGATCATTTGAATGCCTGAACCCCAACAACCATCTGCTGAGATCCTTGCACGCCTCCCCTACACCAGATCCAGACATATCAACAGTTGGGGTGAAGCCACTTGACTCTTGGCATTGTATCTGTATTAGCCCACAGCCTTAGTGCCCCTAAAAGTGAAAGAGCTTCCATCTACCTTTTCAAAGGCAGGAAAATACCGGTTTCTTGCTTTTTCTTTGATCTGAGGAAGGCTTTTCTCCTTTTCCTCAGGTGAGGAGAATGAGTGATAAAGAATCAATCTATCCAAATCTGCCATGCCTTCTGTATACATATCAATCCTGAGAGATAAAAACAATCAAACTATCAAGCACTTATGGCATTAAAGCTTATGGTTTTAAAACTTAATGAAATGGAATATCCAAGGTAGCAAAGTAATTCATTATTGTATGGCCATTTGATATGCCATTCATTGTGCTATTATTTCTATGAACTTATTTACATTTACTTCTAAGAACAACTTAAGCAGATGAAAAATGGCTTTAATTTCTATTATAATCATGACCAAATACATTGACAATGAATGCTGATAGGTACCTGCTGAGAGTGAAGCTCGTGAGAGCATGTGTCGGATTCATGAATATGACCATTAATGTCACAAATTTGGTCTGTATTTTGTACCCGGCACACAAACACAGCATGGCATGTAGCTAACGGTCTGCCAGCTGATTCATCTCTTGAGAGAGTTCTCATCAAGGTCATTCACACGTGTTCCTCTCCCTCTGTCACCTGGTTATACATATCCCAGATAATTTTTATGCACAATTTCAGAAGTTCTCTTAATTATTTCTCATAAACATGGCTTCCCATGTGCTGTTTTCCAATTCTAGTCATGTTTACAATTCTTGATATCTCACCTAAAATATTTCCTAATCCAATGCATTTTTGTGTGCAATTACAACAAGTGTATAGGATATGAGGTGATTTTTCACTTTGTCTGAAACAGTTAACAAAATACTTTCAGAAACAGCAGAATTATCAGCCTAGTCATATACCATAATTGCCTTCCCTGTAAAGTATACTTCTCAGTAGTTTTAACGCATTGACAGGACTCTGCAAGTATCATCATCCAGTAATTCGAAAATATGCTTAATACCAACTCCAGAAAAAAAAATCTGTGCAGCTTGTCAACTGCTTTCCAGGTCTCTTACTGCAGCCCAGGAAAGTGAAGTGTTTAGTTCTTGTTGAGTTTCCTTTTGGAGCATAATAATCTCAAAACCTCAAACTACATCCATTTTGAGGCAGAATTATTATTATTATTTTGAGCCATAGAGCTGGCCCCTATACTTTCATTTCTTTTGAGACTAAGCCTAATAGAATTGCTAGGTCCTTTATAATTCTATCTATAATTTTTTGAGAACTTTCCATGGCTGCTTACTTTATTTTTTCAATCAAGTAGTACTATTGTAACAAGAAATAGACCCCAATCCTTATAAGTATTGACTATTTGTTTTCTCTAGTGTTATGTGAAATGCTTCAAATAATGCTGGAATCCCTCAGCATCATTCTCTGCCAATCCTTACCTAGGGGTGTGTGTGTGTGTGTCCACCATTCCATTATGTCAGCATTTATTTCTGGGAGCAACATAGAGGGTAGATAAAAGCCTCAAGGTTTTGCTCTCTCCATGACCAAATATAGTTACAATTAATGTCATTGACCTGTTCATAGTCATGATCATGAAAATCTGCAGTGATCACTGTGTGCAGCAAATAAGATTTGCATCTCTAATATGTTGTGTCTTACGACTCATATGGTTAATGACCCACTGCTTTCAAATATAACACCACATAATATTCTGGTATTATAAGTTTGAGAACCAGTATTTTTTTCAAATTTTGGGAAATTAAGAGTTAGTTTCTTTGACTTTTTCTAGGTCTTCATTTTTACACTCATTTTAGTCCCCTGTCTTGAGCTGCTCGTGCAGCCTAACCTGTAAAAGTGATTGCAGGGCCCAGCCTGGTGGTGGACCAGGTTAATTCTCTACCTGCATTGACAGAATCCCTTGTGGGTGCCAATATCCCATATGGGTGCTATTTCTAGACCTGACTGCTCTACCTCTGATCCAGAACCTGCCAATGGCCTGGTAAAGCAGAGAAGATGACCTGTGCTGTGGCTAAATCCTCACCTTGAAGGTGCTGGGATTCCATGTGAATGCTGGTTCAGGTCCCCATAGAAGTGGTTGCTCCACTTTCCGTACAGCTTCATGCTTGTGGCCAGGAAAGTAGTGGAGGATGGCTAAAGCCTTGGGACCCTGCACCCACATAGGAGACCTGGAGGAAGTTCCTGGTTCCTGGCTTCAGATTGGCTCAGAGCTGGCCATTATTCCCATCTGGGGAGTGAATCAACATAGGGAAGATCTTTCCCCTATCTCACCTTCTCTCTGTAAACCTGCCTTTCAAAAAATTAATTAAAAAAATAAAAACGTAATTGGGAAGAAGACTACTTCACTTTTCAGACTTCACAGTTCTTCACTGTCAGGAAACCTCTGATACTGGGCTATGACCTGCATCTTCTACTATGGCCCAAATCACTTGAATCCATCTGAAATCACTCTGCTCATCTCCACAGGACTCTGCCACTCTCAGTCCTAATGGATACCCAAGACTCAGGCTGCAATTGGCCTTGCATTCCTGCTAAGATACTTCTCAATCAGGGCAAATCTGATATCAGTACTATCATATCTGCAGATGTAGAACAAAAAAATATACCGTACAGGGCTCTCTCCTTTATGTCTTTCCCGTAAAGGTTGTGTTTGTCGGCAATGTAGTTGAGAATGGCTCGGGTCTGCACCAGCTTCATCCCATCAATCTCAACCATGGGTACTTGTTGGAACATCAATAATCCATCTTTTGGAAGGAGAAGATGAAACAGAAAAAGTTAAATGACTAGAGATCATATTCTTTCAAGAAAAAAAATATGTTGGTTGAAATGGCTCTACCGATGAAATGTAAAAATGACTTCCACATTCCCTTTCAAATAAAACAGACTTTCATTGTTATCTTCTTACAGTCCCCTTTAAAAATTAATCCTCCTTTTTAGCTTTTAGCCCTATTATTTCATTGATGTTTTCATTTCCCGAAGAGTTACATTATAGGTCACTGTCTTTTAAAATTAGTCTTCATAGAGATTCTAGGGGGAAGTTTGAAGCTGCTAAAATTAGCAGCAATCTGGATTTCTCTTAGACTAGAAAGTTCCCAGGAACTTATGGTGTTCATGACATCATAGGAGCTCATACAGAAATCTCTATGTAGACCTCTCAGTGTGCCCTTCAAAAATATCATCTGGCAGTGTTGCCAGATGGACCTGGCTCCTTAACCCAGGGCTGCTCGCACTTGCTCGTCCTCTCCTTCCACACACTATCATCTGGATGTTCAACTAGTGCAGCGACATCTTACCACCAGGTCTAAAATAATTTCCATTAAAAAATGAAGGAATAAGGAACCCAAGTTTATTGCCAGAGTTCCCTTCATACAATTCATGCTCCTGTGTGTCTTTGGACATAAGGAACAGCATGTAAAGCTGAGCTGAAGGTAGCTCATTCCTGGTGCAGAAAGCATCACAAAGCAGGAGAGGGCATTGCCATGACCATGAAGGAGTAAGAAGGATTACTTTAGAACATACTCAGAGATATCTAGACCTTCCTCCCTTACAGCATGTTGCCATGCCAGCTCAAGTTACACCTCTTTCACTTTATAGTACATTCTCTTCTCTTTCTCAAAACATCACCCTACAAACACTTAAACATTTAGCTTTCTGCTTGATACCTTCATCAAATTTATTCTTACCACTTCTTAGCTTTTCCAAGTCTCCTTTAGTTTTCATAAGTATCTCTTCAAACTGAAAGCAAAAACAGTAAGAGACATCCTTTTAGTTTACCTCAAAGCATTATGAATTTTAAACCTCAATAGCCCCTGTCTGGCACACAATATGGAGAAGGGAAGACACTGCTTTCACTCTCTCCATCTCCTTAAATATGTGTTTTCAATAAAAATGATTATTTGATTTAAAAATGTGGGGAGCCTGGCACAATGGCTCAACTCACTAATACTCCACCTCTAAGTTTGACACTCCATATGGGCACTAGTTCATGTCCTGGCTGCTTTACTTCCAATCAAGCTCCCTGTTTGTGGCCTGGGAAAGCAGCATAGGATGGTTCAAGTCCTTGGGACACTGCACCTGTGAGGGAGACCTGAAGAAGAAACTCCTGACTCATGACTTTGGATCAGTTCAGCTTTGGCCATTGTGACCATTTGGGGAGTGAACCAGTGGATGGAAGATTTCTCTCTCTCTTCTCTCTTTCTGTTTCTCTTCTCTCTGAAAATGCACATTTCCAATAAAAATCAATAAATCTTTGATAGAGGGTAAGATACAGAGTTTAGAGCTACACAGAAGAATCTGGCCATGGTTATATGGAAATTTAGGTTAGATCTATCCATAAAAGAGCATGGTTCAAAGCCCATTGTTGCCTGTTTTATATTAGCGCTACTCTAGACAGCATCACAGTCTGTGCTTAGGTTTATATTATGGGTATGTCTCTGGAGGGAAGGGACTGCAGTTTCTTCCAGGTATGGACTCGTAGAACCTCAGAAAAGTCTGTGTTTTCATGAGATCCGAGTGGAAACAACATGGACCTTGCCACGGATTAATGGCTATGTAGGATTTCAACAAAGTTACCTTAAGTATTTCCATCATCTCATTCCCCAGGAAGTCAACTCTAAGTGAAATGAGACCTCATTGTTGCATAGCTCTGAACAATTCACCCAAAACTTCCTTTCATGAAAAATAGAGGAGAATTTGGTATCAATTTTCAAGGTTAATGAAGCAGCTGAGGTCCTCATACTATTTTATTTTCATCCGACTTTTAGTTTCTACATCACAGGTGAGTTTAACATCACTTTTTCTTGTAATGATTTCTTGACTTTGTACACGTTACTGAACAGGCCTGAATTTCAGTCTCCTAGACTAAAATGTGAGTATACTCACAATACAGATATTACAGCTTGCAGTAGGGGATTAAATCACTAAGGTGTGTGTGCAAGATATTGAGAAAAACAGCAAGTGCATATTAAGTGCTTGATACATATAAACTTGCACCAAGATTTTGACAGATGGTGATTGCTTTACTATGTCTTATATTTTTTAACAACTTAAACCAAACTTCAGTTAATGAAAATGTATACTCTTTTGATCCACATCTTGTTATTTAAACCTTGCCATAAACCATACCTCATCCTGACACAATTCCTTTAGGTTGAAGTGGCAGTCAGTAGCAAGCATGTCTCAATCTGATCACAAACTTGGTGTGGTTGCCAGCATTCAACACACACATGAAAGTCAATTTTTACACATGAATGCAGAGTAAAGCAGAATCTAATGTAACCTAAAACCTAAGGAGACAGTAAAATTCTCTGTATTCTACTGTCCATAGGATTTACTTTCCATCTTGGCTCTGCCTCAAGTAGTTGTGGGATCTGGACATGAACCTTTAATGTCACAAAGCCTTAATTTCATTATCTGTATAACAGAGGAAAGACACTCTTTAAACAGAATAGTGTAGTGACTTTAGACTACACAGTACAGGTCATGGCCCATTTAAATTAGGCAGTTAATTGTAGTGTGATTTGCAATAGCTATCAGTGTGAAGGAGTTCTTTTTAATGATAAAAGGTCAGGCCCTGCACCACATAACAGAAGCTGAAAAGAAGCAGAAAGCAGTGACTCATCGCTTTAAAGCATTTCGAGTGACACTGGGCAGCGTTTGGGTTCTCGAACACTCATTTCTCAAAACTGCCAAGAGGATCAGGCTGTAGAGTCCTGGCAATGTTCTCCACCTTAGGTAAAAGTTCTTTGGCACACTGGTAAAACGTTCTCTGTTGTGCTGTGAAAGCTCCCTTTACAGAATGCCACATCACCTGAAACCCTCTGTGTGCTGCCACCTGAAGACAAGAGCTGTGGAGATTGGGCTGCCCGGGAAGTCCTCACCCAGTTGCCAGTTCCTTCTTGGCAGTGCCAAAAGATGTTTCCTCAGAGACACCTGTAGAGGGCAGCACTCGGCAGTTCCACAAATGCCTAACAGCCTTTCCTGTTCAAACTCTAGGAAGAAGGGCTTTTTACTCTTTGCATATCTCTGTACTCCCATCTTTCTTGATAGTCACTGATTTACTTGTCTATGTTCTCATAGATACCCATGGGGGTTACAGGACTGTGTTTATCTTGTTCACTGTGTTTCTCTGGGACCCAGCACACAAAAAAACAGCCTTTACCAGCTGTTCAACAATGGGTTCAACAGATCAATGAGTGTGTTCTATCACTAACATGCTGTTGGTTAACAATCTGGTTTGTCCTTCTCCTCATTTGACATTTGTGCTTTAATTTTTATTGTATTCATTATTAAACTTTGTTATTTTATTACAAACACTTCTAATATATATAGACTCATAATGTTGCTTTTTGTACCACTGATTTAATTCAACATTTCAAACATAAGCCAATGCCCTTTCATTTACCTACACGCTCTTCCTCTAATTTTTAAAATGCAGGTATTTATTTATTAGATTTTTTTGTGTGTTTGATAATTCAGATTAGAGAGGGAGTACTTCCATTAGCTGGTTACTCCCCAAATGGCTGCAATGGTTAAGACTAGACCAGACAACAGTTAGGAGCCAGGCATTCCCTCAGGGTCTCCTCTGTGGATGGCAGGAACCAAAGACTGCCAATCTGCTGCTTTCTCAGGTACCTTAGTAAGGAGCTGAATCAGAAGTGGAGCAGCTGAGACTTGAACCGGCAGTCATAGAGGATGTTGGCATCCATGCAGTGGTTTAACCTACAAAACCACAATGTGGACCCGGACTCTACTCCTGTTGTAAACTGAAGGTCATTCCAGATATCCAGAAAAGTCATGTATGATATACTGAGGTTTCCATTGACCATGGATGTATAAACGTGGGTGTTTCCAAAAATTTATGGGAATGTGAATTTGAAAAGCTATGCACCGACTTTCATTTTTTTCAGCAAAATAAATGATATTTTTGTCTTTTAGTATTTTCTTTCAGAAGTCTGTTCAATAACTGTTTTCAAAAAATTAGATTGTTATGGAACTTTAAGATTAATCTCTGTTATGAACAACACAAGGCACAAGAAGAAAAACAAACAGAAAAAAAAATGAAGAGCCTCCTAAAAATTCACAATGAAAAGTTTATCAGAAAGTTTGTGCAGATTTCACTGTTTCCCTAAAGGACATGAAATTAAAGGTCTCTCCTCTCCTGACATTAAATGCTTGTCATTAATATAGAATAAATGATTGATGAACCATTTAAAAGAAATTCTGTGATGTAAACTAAAACAAACCAAGAAAATCATGATGTATGTACTTTGGGGAAAAAGAGTGACATATTCTCAGTAGGAGCCTCAGGCAGTTTCTTCAGAAGGGACCAAGAAGAAGGTTCTGTTCCCATAGAGAATGTCACCTCCTCAACTGTGGCTGCGCCAACAGATGTCCTAAGATGTGGAGGTGGCAAACAATCGTATTCATGACCCAGGCCCAGTACAGGTCAGATCATTGTATATTTATGTCTTAGATTTTAATATGGAAGTTTTAAAAATAAAGAATAGGTAATTGCTGAAATAGAAAAAACTTACAATATAAGGATATCAACAGAAAATCTTTTCTATAGCTGTGTGCTGTTATTAAGCAACATGATTTTACAAAAGAATAAAAAAGTTTAAAAAATAAAGAGTATAAAGCAAAAAAAAAAAAAGTAAGCTGAGGTTAATTTACTAGGGGAGAAAGGAAAAAAAAATATGGAATTAGTGCCCAACTAGACAAAGCTTGTGAAGTGTGTAGTAGCATACATCAATGTGGCAGGCTTCCTAGGACTCACCTTTCACCCACCAAATCTGACAGCTCAAAACTTCGAAGAGGTGCCAGTCATGTCAGACTTCTAAGTCCCATGAGTCTCAGGGTGAGCAGAAAAACAAGCGTTCAGTTGGGGACACACAAGCAGGACGAGGATGTGAAAAGACAGTTGCTGTCTACTGAGAAACTTGGCTAACTGCAGACTTGGCATCTGTGAGTGGAACAAACTGCATTTGTTTGCCTTGGAAGTTTCCCTTGAGCTATGCTTGTTTGCTAACCAGGATGTGTGTGTGTGTGTGAGGTGTTGTTTCTGTTTTATTTTTTGTTTAAAAACCCCTGTCATTGGACAGTCTGTGCAGTGGTGTCAAGTTAATTGGATGCTTTGTAATGTGTACCCCCTGAGTTGACTGATCATTGCACGCCAATGTGAGATTAAAAACCCCTGATAATGACCAGTGGGGCTGCTCCTTCTTCCACTTGTGGTGGCACACGACCGTCCGCTGGCCGGTGAATAAAGGCTCCTGAGCTTCTAAGAGTCTTCCTCCAATTCATTTTTGGTCAGAACTGGTCAGCTGGCAACAAAAATCATCCAGAGGAACTTCCTACCCTGGAATCCCCCCTCAGGGGCAGTGCCCTATATAGTGCAGCACTTTTTATCTTTCATGTCATATTTTCACTGTACCTTTCCCATGTTTTTACATACATATTTATGATTATGTTCCAGTTATCTGTTCATCAGCATTTTGTATCATTTTTACAGGTGTTTAGCCCAGAAGCAATAGATGATACTGTTTGGTATACCTGTGCAGCAGCTGTGCCAGCTAAGTTTGTGTAAATACACACTAAAATTTTCCTAGAATATGATCACCTAATGACACATTTATCAGAAAGCAACTGTTGATAAAGGATATAGGACTTGATTTCTTCCTTAAATATTCAATGTGTGTCTCTAAAACATAAGAATTATTAAACATATTGGTACATGTAAAACATAAATAATAACTTTTAATGCCTTCAAATATAAAAATCATTCCTATTCTAATTGTTATTAAATGACATAATTATTTTTACCATTTTAAAGCTAAAATTCATAGAAATTCACATATAATAATTGAAATCTTGAATTTATAATCATCATTATGATTTTTATACATAAGAAATTTAAATGAATTATAAGACCAATCTATTAAACAACTCACTTCATCCTTGGCAATTTTTAGTTAAGGAAGCACATTTTTTCTGATCATTTAGCAGGCCACATCTCTAAGCTTACATGTAAAAAATATCTGACATAGTTTATTTTACATCACCTTCAAATGACCTCACCCAGGACCTACCTCCACCCCAGCTGCAGCCAAGAGCCACCGGATGGACTCCATCCTGCCCCGGGCATTGAAGTAGTGAAGCTTGGGCTTTCCGGCCATGATAGTAGGCTCCTGGTTTCCCTAAACGTGAGTAAATGAACAAATGGAAGCATGGAATAAAAATGCATTTATGATGTATAGTTGAATAACACCAAAAGTCAGAGAAGCAGAAAGAAATAGCAGGAGAGAGGAAGAAGAGAAGGAGGAGGTGGAGAGGGGAAGAAGGTATATGAGAGAAACAGAGAGAAATCTTTCTTTGCTGGTTCCCACACAATCAGGGCTAGGTTGAAGCTGAACAGTTTTAATATAAGTTTCCTTTGTGAGCAGCCAGGATCCAACTTCTTGAGTCCTGAACTGCTCCCTGCCCATTACCAGGATGAGCAACAGGAAGAAGCTGGATTCAGGAATGCAGCTAAGACATGAACGCCACTACTCAAGTAGGGAACAAGGCATCACAACTGTACTTTAACCACCACGTCAAGCTTTTTCTCCAGGGTATGCCACCTTTATAGCATGTTTGGAGATGTTCCTGTGTATCTTTCTTAACCCAAATTATTATCCATCACTGGCTACAGACATATTGTACCTAACAAATCTCAATACCCTATTGAATCCCGATAGCTTGAATATTTACTGTTTTGTGCTATCCCATATTCTCTATAAGATGTCTCCATTCCTCTTTATGTTTTTTTCTGGTTTTTTTTTTTACTGTGTATTTTCAAATTATCTTTTTGAACTCATCACTTATTTCCTTTTCTTGGTTTACTCTGTAATTACTTCTACCAGTTTTAACTTCATATAGTGTTCTCTCAGTTGAAAGATTTCTGCTTTGCTTTAATAATTCCATCTATATCAGATCTGTAAAAAACTTTGAATTATTTCTCTGTGTTTTCTGAATTCCATTGAGTTTCCTCAATGCAAACCTGATTAAATCCTCCTCTTTGGAAATTTCAATGCACAGCTGGTTAGTTTATGATATCTTTTTCTACTCTTCAGGTAAGGTCATGGTTCCTTGGAAATTCTTGATGCTTGTTGATGTGTGGTGTTTTCTATGCATTGAAGGATTTAATTATAATAATCTGGCATGGTTAATCCCAATTTTTCTAGATATGTTAAGGAGTGTGCTTATTTATTTTGTCTATGGATACTTCGAAAATTGCCTAAGTCACAATTTACCACAGGTTTACTGTTGATATTATTTCCAGCTGAGACTTGATATACTCCTCCCAATTAAGTTTGTCCCATTTCTGCAATTAAAATATTGTTTAATATGAACAATGGAAATGACCTTCAGGGCTAGTCCACCCTAAAGCATCTTCCAGGGTCTGTGGTAGGAGCAGAAGCTCTGACCTGTGTTTCTAGGTACAATAAGTTAGAGACATGGAGGCTCGGCCCACCAAGACTGATACAACCCTGGGGGTAGGACCAAAACTCCCTCTGCTGTGGTCTCAGTTGATGACCTGGGCTCACTACATAAAGCCACATCTAGGAGCCATTGTTGATGTCAGTTTGGCTATAAGACTGCTCAAATGATCATGGGATTCTTGAGGGTCCTGAAACAGATCAAGAAGTTCTTTCAGCAGGCACAAAACTGGGGAAATAGATCAACAAGATTTCTTAATTCTGAATTCCATCAGCTTGGTACTGAGTTCCAACATACTCCAGTTATTCCTTACTGGATGTCAAAGCGGGAGGAAGAATGATGGAGGTATGTTTCAGCTATGCAGACAGAACCTAGGTAGATTGTTCCAACTATAACTGTCACCTTAACCGATGCAATCTTGTGGATATACACCATGCTCTCAGAGGCTGGTGGGGACACACATAAAAACAAGGCGAATTCATCAAATACTAGTCTGTGCTTGATACCAGGACAACCTGAAAGACTGTCCACATCCACTTGCTTCAGCAAATTGGTAGAATCTGTCAGGTGAGGGACTTTGTCAACCCAGCCCTGGGTCCTATGCCACTGTCCCGTGGCCTCTTGCTTGCCCACATTTAGAGGAAAGTGATAAAGGCTTCCCTCTAGACATTCAGACTGACATTGAGCTCTGTTAACCAGAGTCAGAAGTTCTTACACAGCCTTGGGGGTGTTCACAAAACCCTACCAGAGGCCAGCAGTCACATTCAATGAAATCAGTGGTTCCTTGTGGTGTACAGATACTTGCTGGATGCTGCACAAATCTGGGCTCACTCTTGAGCACAGCTTTGAGGCTGTATGCTTCTGGGCTTTCACAGGTGCAGGTTCTTGGTGGGGTTGGCCTATGAGCTCTCAGTTTACCATGCCGAGCATCCTCTCCTGACCTCTTTTGCCCACTCACTGGAGCTTCACTTTCTGTGGGTGGTGGAGGGAGGATAGCAAAGCCCACCTGGCTGAGGAAGCTCCATGTCATCTCTGCACAGGCATGTGGGACGGGGCAGGGCAGGGCTCAGCCCAACAGGATTTTTCACTGCCACTTGGCCCCGAGATTCAGTTCCACTCCATTTCCAAGCAGGAAACATCTTTATATGCCAAAGGAGTTGAGTTGTGACCCAGCACACCAGCCCCTGAATCCAAATAAGGCTATTTATTACTTATTCTAGAACATTGCTGACTCTCACATTCTTATCCTATGAACTTCCTTTTTTCTTTTTTGAATTTTAGTAAGCTGTTTGTAGGTTTTGTTGAAACAAGTTTCATGCTCCAGTGTTTAACTACTTCTCTTATCACAGAATTTCAGAGCAATGCTGAGACCTTTCTGTTTGCCACAGCATGGCGAGGTGCTATGAGAAGAGTCACTGTACCAGGTACGTAGAGACAGAAAAGCTTCTGAATATCCTACACTGGACAGGTCAGGCCCCTACACAAAAAGTTACCAAGTGAGGAAAAGCATCAGCGGTATCAATCCATGCAACCTGTCTTAGTTGTTCTCTCGGTTTCTCTAGGTTTGTCATGAATTAGTTAAACTCCAGAAAGAAAGAACAAGACTTTTTATCTAACTAATTAAAGGCAATGAATGAACTAGTTCAATTTCCTAAGATTCAGATAACTTATTCCTGTCACAATAAATCCTAATTTTGAATATTTGGAGTGTTAGGTAGTATTAGAGTATCAAAATTTACAATTAATCCCAGAACAATTCTACAGAGAATGCAAAGTTAGCAAAAATTCCCACATTCTTCTTGCTTTGACTATATCCTCAGTTGGTGTAAGGTATCATCGTCCCGTTTTCTCCTCAAAATTTCTTAAAATTCTATTTCTGACTCATGCTTTCATTCTTTGTAAACTCTTCATTTTTAGTTTTTGTAAACATGTGTTTGACAGATACAGAATAAATAGCTTTAAACTATTGTCTAAGCACAGCTAGAACCTTTCAAGAGAGTGTAAAATGACATTTACTTCTGCTGAAGACTTACTTAAAATACTTTCTAAGTACCTAAGGAAGAAAGAGGAAATTTAGGAAGATTTAAAAGATCAATACTCACTTAGTAAAAAGTTATAATCCTCTTGTCCCAAGAGCTTAATACCAGTTCCTGATGGTTTGTGTAACAATTTATTAAAAGCCCTTCCCCGAAAGCAGGTGTGTTTAGTCAGGGGAGAGCCACTTCTTCAGTGTTCAGGAAGGGCTGAATTCCTGAACTGTTTTAAAGGAGAATGCTCATACTCGTTTCAGGGCACATTTAGCTAATAAGTTATTAAATGGCTAGTGGAAAGATACTGAGGCAACAACTTTGGGTAAATCTCATACGGGTTTTTTTTTTTTTTTTTTACAGTTAAAAAGGAACAATGCTTTGAAAAAATCATTATGGGATTTTCAGGAGATGGGTAAAGAACAGACAAAACGTTTACCATTCTGAACTTGGCAGAATGGTGATGGTCTGCAAGAGTGAGCTGATTGCATGCCAGAACCCATCATTCTGATTTGCCAACTAAAATCATGGTCACCGTTACAGGTGACTCTCACATTGCCTGGTGAATGGTTTCACTAAACACTAGATGTTAACTTGAAATTCAACTTTATCTGGGTGTCCTCTGTTTTATCTCCTAAATCTAGCAGTATTTATTTCATGATTTGGTTTCCTACCTCACTCATATTAACCTTGCTAGCATAAGGCCTTTGCTTATGCTCTTGTTTTAATTGAAATATTTTACTGATGTCACATATTATGCTTTCTATTTTATATCTTGGCAAACATTGTATTGGTTTTATGTATATCTTATAAGATTCCAAACTAGACTTTGATTTCTCAAGTGCAGAGCTTTTATTTAATTTGAGGCTGGTTCCCATAATTTGAACACAACTCTAAAATAATAGGAGCTCAAGAAATGAGATGAATTAAGATTTATTTGGATAAAAAATTCTAGCAAATACAATACTAGAAAGAAGAAGAATCTTTGGCTGCCTCCACTCACCTCCCCTTGGTCTCTGCATCTGACCTCTTAGCCTAATAATTTAAAATTTAATCTCCTAAATTTTCTTTTCTGTTTTTTTTAAATTGGTTTTTATTTTTATTGGAAAGTCAGATATACAGAAAGGAGGAGAGACAGAGATGAAGATCTTCCCATTGATCCACTCCCCAAAACAGCTGCAACAGCCGGTGCTAAGTCAATCTGAAGCCAGAAGCCAGGAGCCTCCTCAGGGTCTCCCACACATGTGCAGGGTCGCAAGGATTTGGGCCATCCTCAGTTGACTTCCCAGGCTGCAAGCAGGGAGCTGAATGGGATGTGGGACCGCTGGAATTAGGATCCATATGGGATCCTGATGGGTGCAAGGTAAGAACTTTAGCTGCTTAGGCTACTGTGCTGGGCCCAAAATTTAGTCTTCTAAATTTTCAAGCTCAATAGTCTGAGCTTGAAACAATCCAGGGGAGAGAGTATGTCATCAATAAATATGTATTGAACTGAATACAGATTTTTTTTGGTATTTTCACTGTGAACATAATTATTGAGACATTTTGTTAAATTAAGAGATTTAAAACTAAAAATTTCCTTTACTGGCTGTCTTTGGTTGTCCAGTTGATGTAGGATGTTGCAATGGAATTAATAGTTCCAAAGAACAAGTGTATTCAAATAAGGCCATTGAGTGCAGAAGGAAAGATAAAAGAATTTGTCAGAAGGCTGGGAGCAAGATGGACTAAAGTTAACACAAAGTAATCCTTGTCCTCTTAGGACTTTAACCCAGCTCTTTCTTGGTACAATTGCTAATTTGTTCTTTGCCCACTAGCCCAATTAATCAAAAAAGCAGGGAGAAAACACTAATTAATAGAATCAGAGATGAAAAAGTAAATATAGCAATAGAATATCAGGAAGTATTACAAGCAACTATATGCCAAGAAACCAGATGACTGAAAAGAAATAGATTTTGGACACATCCAATCTACCAAAATTGAATCATGGGGCAATTAGTAATCTAAATATACCTATAACCAAGATGGAGATTGAAATAGTAATTAAATCTGTCCCAACAGAGAAAAACCTAGGCCTGAATGGCTTTGGCACTAAATTCTACCAAATGTTTCAAAAACAACTTACCCTAATCTTCTACAAGCTATTCACAATAATAGCAAGGGAAGCAATCCTTCCAGACTATTCCTATGAGGACATCACTTTAATACCAAAGCCAGATAGAGACAAAACAGAGAAAAAGAACTACACTCCAATATCCCTAATGAACAAAGACACAAAAGTCCTGAACAAAATATTGGCCAATAGAATCCAATTATACATCCGAGAGGTAATTCACCTGGCCCAGGTGACTTTGCTGTCTTCTCTTCTGTTTCAGTGGAGAGCAAGGCCAAGTAGACGCTTCTCAGTGTTGCTGTCTCTAAGGCCTTCATCAACCCTTGAGGTGCTTTGACTTACCCCAGCCTTGCAACTAGACTTTCCATTGTACTCTCTCAACTATTCTTTCCCAGGGATCCTTCTATTGGGACCCTCTAGTACATGTTGGTATTGATTTGTAATTCCTTATGTGCAAAGCTTGTACACTTCAAGGACTGGGATGATACTTATTCATCTGGTGCTCCTGGAGCACAGGGAGATGCCTTGACAAATGATAAAGACAATATTATAAAACATGCTATAAACTGAGGATGGTTGAGTTAGAAACTTGTGTTCCAGAAAATGGGTATAAGACAGTATGTTGGAGGGTTTTAACAAAATTTACTCAGTTCTCTTAACAGGGTCCAGGATTCTACCAAATTGGGGTAGTGGTCCAGTGGGTAAAAGATCTTTTTCTGCCCTGGGTGTGGCTCTCTCTACCTTAAATAAATAAATAAATAAATAAATAAATAAATAAATAAATAAAAATGATTGGCATAATGTGTAATATTGTACACAAAATGAGCCTGGGAAAAATAATGCATAGATAGGAGAGGACTGTGGAATAGGGAAGGACATGTTAAAGCAGATGGAGAAGGATTAGGGGAGAAGAGGCAGAGAAAGTAACATCCCAGGTAATAGGACTGAGCAGAATGACAGCTGAGAGCCACCTGGGGACCTGGCAGACACAGAGAAGATGCAAAGATGGCAAAGCAGCATTGCAACAGACACCCCAGCAGTGATCGGAGTTCCACCAAGGGTTAGGTAGGAAGGGGAGATCAGCAGGAATACAGGACGTGAATTAAGCCATAGAATTGCAGTTGTTTTTTGTCTAGAAGAATCAGACTCCCTGGGTTGTGCTTGGGATGGGTGCTCTTTGCTCCTCTCTGAGGCTGTGATCTGGGCACTGCAGGCCATGAAAAGCAGAATTAACAGCTTCTCAGTGAAGGCATTTTTGCTGCCTGTCAGCCAGAGGAAGTTGCCTGTGGACGAGGAATACACATCAAGATTTGTTTCAAGTGATCGGTGTAGAAGATAAGCCTATTTCAATTAGTGTTGTGAAGTTTTGAATCAAAGAAGTATATCCATTAAACACTGATCTTGGCTTTTGCGAAACCAATAAACTGTCTCAAATGTGATTGATGATGCAATAAACTCTTCATGGCAGAATTAATTAGAATATATTCTTTTACACTGTGGTCTGACATGAAATCAGGTTTAAAATGTCCTTATAGTATCTTTCTTGGAATTAAATATTGGAGAAGAAAAAAGGTAAACCAGGTCCTTTGTTTTTCCATGTACAAAATCCGTCTTACCATCTATGAGACAATTGAGTATAGAAATTCGCTTCTGATATTCTCAGGTATTCCCACCCCAATCTTTCTCATTTTATGAACAACACATGAGATTTTCCTTTAACAGCCATTTTATTGTGAAAATAAAGACATTTTTCCTCATTAAATTTAAGATGTGTATTAGGTTAACCAAGGACTCTTCTGTATTCCAAGAGGCAAAGCTGCAGTCTCAGAAGATCCTGTTGTCCCTCATAGCATCTGGGCAACTGGCCTTTCTTTACTGTGTCCTGTAATGCTAAATGGGACACAGACATCACTTCCAATTCTCTTAGTGTCACTTAAACCTGAACTGTCATGATACCGATTCTGTATAAGAACTATAAATGTGGATCTGAAACCCATAATCCCCCTGGCTTTCCACTGGGACAGAGTCTATGGGTGAGAAGCAGTTTTTCATTTCAATGACAGAGACCCGCATGTTCATTTTTCTCAGAAAGTTTGGACAGTGGCATACAGAATCCCCTTTTCTGGAGAGGGATCCCCCACAGGGGAGGGGACAAGGGAGCAAATACATGTGGTGCCCTCAATGCAGTTTCACTTCTTTCTAGTCTCTGCCCCATTTAGAACCAAGGGCTTCTCTGAAGTGTGAATATTTTCTCTTTTTCTCAGATCCTTCAGTGAGTCCTTGTTTTCTGAATGTAATCTCACATCCCTCCTCACTCCCTGATCCCTATTCTGTTCCCTCACCTGGGCTTTTGTAGCCTAGACATGCCAGGATGGCCAGGATTTAAACATCTGGTGATAATTTCAACCTTGTGCATCATAATATTTCCAAGAGGGTCAAGTTCTTTACCCTTTAATCAAATTAGAAGGTTCATTAAAAAACAAAGATAATTCTTGAATTAATCATTAGCTGCAGTGCACGACATAGAGTAAGTAAAAATAAGATAAAGGAACAATTAAAAAGATAGGCAAATATAGATTTAAAAATTACTCATTTTCAGAGTATTAGCAATGATTCAAACACCACATGTCTACTGAGGAAATGGTCCTGGTGGTCTGGGACAGCACAATCTGCCAAGATGCTGTTTAGTAGTTCCCAATGCCATCCAGATAGTTTTTAGTAGAGTTAAAGGACTTTGACTCTTGCAGAGCCTTCGGCAACTAATACTAATACTAATACTAATACTAATACTAATACTAATACTAATACTAATACTAATACTAATACTAATACTAATACTAATACTAATACTATTACTATTACTACTAATACTAATACTAATACTAATACTAATACTAATACTAATACTAATACTAATACTAATACTAATACTAATACTAATATAACTAATTCTCAGAGGGTGTAGAGGTGTCCTAAAGTGGACTTCTAATGTTCTGGTATTTATTACCCCAACAAGTGTTTTATATTTGCTTCCAATGCTACCCTGAATGGCAAAGTGCTGTATCCAAACTTTTCCATTTGCACATTTCCACACAGTTGTAAATGATGTTATCCCTGCATGAGTGTGAGCAATGGGCCTCCTTA